AGGGATCAATTAGACCGCCTCTTTGCGGACCATAAAAAAAAACTTTCTTTTCTTCGTGTTATTATAAATGCCAAACGGAGTATTTCCTGTACTTCCGCAATTTTTCAACTTCGCTGTAGATTTTTCGAAATTTATAGTAAGACGGTCGAATTCTTCATTAGCTAAGGAGCAAGAACAATTAATGATCTTTTCAAAACGGTTAATTGAATTTAAAAGATTTACTGTGTTGAATGGAATTTGTGATGTTAAATTTTAGGTATCAAGGGTGTTTCTTTTAACAGAAGGATACATTTATTTTTTATATTCACTAGTTTTCGTATTCCGCTTGACCAATTAATATCTTTCAATTAATTAAGGTTTTTAGTTGAGATAAAAAAAGTCAGTGTCACTCACGATCTTCGGCTTGATACGCCGCTACTCTACCACTTGAGCTACCGTGACTTCGATCCACTCGGCCACTAAGTGGTAGAGCAGCGGCGTATCTAGCCGAAGATCGTGGGTTCGAATCCCGCTCGTGACACTGACTTTTTTATCTCAACTAAAAACCTTAATTAATTTATTTTTTATGTTCTTGATGTATTATACCAATTGGTCGTCGGCCTACTGCTGTTTCGTTTTCTTTTATGATTGATGTTATACATTTGAACTACCAAACGTATCGTCTAATTTCTCTATCTCTACACTGACCTGAACCTTCTGAAAGAAAACTGGATCACAATCCAAGATTATGATTTATTTAATTCTTGGTTACAACAAAGACATAATAGGCGTTACAAAGCGTTTTCTTTGGAAATTGAATATTTAACATTTTATTCACTAATTGGATTTATTCACCCAAAGTAAAACAGCCAGTTTGTTATATACCTAGATTATAGTAGAAAATATTGTTTAGGTTTGTTCTAGTTTTGAGGATTCAGAAATCGAAATAAAATATCTACGAGCATAGATCTAGGGACCTAAGATTGTATAAACTTATGTAGTACCGATTCAATTAGTAAAAATGAGCCGAAACGTAAAAATCTGTTTATTAAAGTTAGTATTATTTTATTTTTTTATCCATTAGTTGTTATTGGAGCTACGCTCTTTATTGCATGCAGAGAAAAGTTGCTCGATGTGTCCCACCTAATTGAAGGGTGCATTTTCTTGGCGCGCAGGAATGCCTCCCGATATGAGAATCATGCTTGAGCACGTCAGCGAATATCTTCGTCCCTTGTTTCGATTATTGGAGGAAACAGTTGTTGAATATAGTTTCTTGTCTCTAGCATGTGTTGAATGTGAATGTATTTATTAGCGTGATTTTGTAGAATAAGTTAGACTCTAAGTACTCCAACACCCCTCAATTAGATTAGTTATAGATGTGATGGAAAAATATCGATTTCTCCACCATCCTCACTGAGAAAATGGTATATAAATAAGAAAGAATGTATTTAAGAGTGAGTGAGAGTGTGAATGGGTTTGGTGTTAGCAGCGTTGGGGGCTGAAATGAACTAGCTGTTGTTGGCTCCAGAGAGCCCAACCTCGGTGGCTGGACAGACAAGACACCCCAGTGGCAACAGCGACACCCGAAGAGAGTGATTCTCGCGGCCTGCCGGGAATTTATTTTAAATTACAACAGCCGGAATTTCCGGTGGACTGCAAGAAGTGATAGGCTCAACTCTGCACACGTATTCATACATACATGTGCGGATTTGAGCTTATATAAATCCAAATACAAAATCAGGCCTGGTGTGTCAAAGCAACAACAAATTCTAACCAATAAACAGGCAATCAAATATTTTTCATATTTATTAATAAAACTAGCATCACCAGTTTATTTGTATTAAAAGAATCGACGATGCATTTTTTTAAGTGAAACTAGTTCGGAAAATATTAGACACCTATAGGAGCATTCTTGTCAATAAGCACGAGGAAGCGAGAAAAAATATTTAAAGTAATTTTATTATTTTTGTTCACTATGGCTTTCTCACTTTGTTGTGTTTGTATTATAAGGACATTATTTATCAGTCATTTCTTTATTTTAATGTGGATAAGAAAATGTGACTTAAGAGATTAGATAGGCATATAAAAAGTTACAAAAACCAAAACACGCTTCTATTATTTCTGTTTAAAAAATTCGGGTGTTTTAACCCATCCTTTTAAATCCTTAATTGGGCTTTTCACAGCAATAAAAAATTGCCATTTTTTTCGACAGGATCAACTTCTTTCATGCTGAAATATGGAAAGGATCGTTCTGTGGACTAGCAAATTCGAGCTTTCTATTGAAATTAATGCATGATTTTTTTGTGACTGAAAACACAGCAAGTAGATTATCATATTTTTTCAAGAATAATTTTATAGTAATTAAATAATTTTGGGCAAAATTTAAACAGAAATTCTCGAATTGTTGAACAACACGTTTAAGCCACAAATTTGGCCCCTTTTAAATGAATTACAATTGGATTTTTTTTTCTTTTTTACTTTTTGTCACTTATAATGACATAAAAATCTAAGCATTTTTGACAAAGGCTCATGGAAGACAAAATCGACTTTGGAATGGCCTATTTAATCAATATCGTTGAATATGGATTAAATACTGAGGACAGCGAGAAAAACAAAAAAATTGTCACCTGCCAAAAAAATTCTTTTTATCGCTATGAAAATTCGTATTTAAAGTATGTGAAGAGTACTTCGAAGGAATCCAAATTATTTTTTCAACAAAAATTTTTGGTTTCATTTTTATTTATTCACTACCGGTTTCAACTTTTAATTTTCTACTCCTCTTTCTTCAGGTGAAGTTTTTCTCATCCGTTCGTTTTGTCGAAATTAATACCATCATCTTTTCTCAAATTATTTTCAGCACTTCTTCATTTCTGTTTTAAAATCTAAATAATTTAGAGATTTTTTATTTTATACAAATCGGATATGCATACGGGGTCTAGCTAATCAGAAAGGAACAAGCGAAATGACACTTAAAGAAGACTTCAAATGAAAAATTGAAACCTGTAGTGGCTTAATTAAAAATAAAAATAAAGAACAATTATTTTTGTATTGTATATTACGTGCAATTAAATAAAGTTATTTTGCTATTGCTCGATATTTACTTACTGATCACACATAATCATTTATATTTGTACTATAAAGAGGTTCATTTCAAAATTTTTTACACACGCATTTTTTACACGTATCGCATGTCGTCTTGATGGTGTGGACAATCGGCGTGCCAATCAGGATGGCGGAGATAAGATAAGGTAGATCCCATCTCTGACTTTTACAAATACATTAATTGTAAACCAGATTAAGAAATTTTATCTAAAAATTTGAAAAAATTATGGTGTATTTTTTAAATACTAGTAAAAAATAAAGTATAAATGAGTGAATATTCATTGGCCATGTTTTTAACCAAAAAATCTTGTTTGAATAAAAATTGTTTTAATAGAAATATTACCATTTTATAATATGTTTCTCATTACTTTCTTAGTAATAATATATAACATTTGTACTATTAATGCAAATAAAGACATGAAAGATGATAATGAAATAAAATCTATTTAATATATGATGATAAGCTAGCGATTACATGAAACGAGAAATTTGTGATATAATGTTTATTGTTAAATATTAATTGTCCTGTAGCCCCGTCTTTTATTTAAAAACAGAAATTAAAAAAAAAGAAGATATTTTGTCAAACTCACACCATAATTCGGTGTGGGTGGGGGTGTCACAGCTGAATATAAAACTGACAAATTATTCTTTGGAAGCTTCGAATAACAGTTTCCTGGAATTGAAGGTGATTGTTGTTTAGTAAATTTGGCAAATTCATTACAAATTTAAAAAACCTCAATTAGTAATTATTACACTTACTTCCGACTCGTATAAAGGATGATTGATAAAAATGTTTATATTTAAGTCAGAGATTTATCTAATACGACAGAGTAATCAGTTTTTGATAAATATTTTTTTTTTCTTCAACAAAAGGCGTAATGCAAAAACCTAATTAAAGCAAAAATTAATTTTCGTTCAAAAAGAAGTCTTATAGTCTGGGGTGAGAATGTAGACAAATACTCTTTTACATACTTCTTATATGTTATACATAAATCCAATTATATGTTTGTTTTTATTAACTATGTCACTTCTTGTATCAAATGTATGTCAAAAATATTATATTTGGATAAAAGTTTTAAAAAAAGATATTAAATATTTAAAAAATATATCTAAATTAAATAACCATCAGTTTGCGAGTGAAATTTAGATTAACAAGTCTGAGTTGAGGACAGTTAAATGAAGTCACATTTCACTAAGCGCAGTGTTTATTGAAATAGAAAGAAAATCCTTGACATACTTACTACCACGACTGTTAAAAAGAAAAGAAAATGTTTTGTGCAAATCTTACACGAGAAGTCATAGTAGAAAGGAGGTCGGAGGAAATTATGGTTCCTATTTTCATTACTACAAACGGATTATGAGAAAACCCGAATTGTCAATTATGCCTGCCAGTCGTACAAACAATAAAAAGTGCTAATCGCAAATATAGATATATCGATTGGGCGAAAGAAATCTGAAGTTGGGATATCGTATGGCGGTGAAAGGAGTGAAATTCTTTTGATCCACGCCGATTAACGGTTGCCTTTCCTAGTGAATATCTATGAGGGAAACATTGTGCATAAATGTGTAGTATTTAGTGGCCGTTATTTAATGACTGTTTGGAGATCGTGAGAGTGGAGATTCTACACAAAAAGAGGGAAGAACAACAGGGATTCTTTGAACAGATATCAATTACACATGGACCATAAGCAAAGAGGATTCCGAAGGATTCTATCAATCGAAAGAAGCTAGCATGTGCAAATAATCAGACAACCTTTTTGTTGAAATGGAGGAAATTTTACATTGGATCGCATCTCACGATCTCCAAACGTAGTGCATAAAGGGTCTCATCGGAACGGACTGTTATGAGGAAGAAGTGAAGGGCCTGGAGACGGTCTATGTCATGTGAGAAAAGAATATTATATATATGGACATCTAACCGGGCAAAGCGGAATCCTCTTCTTTTTTCGGCCGGTTCCTCCTGTCCCGCCGTGCCATGATCGCGGCAATGGAGAAATCCGTGGCGCACGGCCGGAGGGAGCAGTTGTCATCCATCTCGCCGATGGGATTCGGGGACGACGAAGTTCAAATTTCTCTCCGGGCAGGATCGGGCGTCGGCATGATAGGAACACGACTGGGCGACTACTGGTCGGATCCGAGCGGGGGCCGTAGTGGGGAGAAAAGGCCCAAGAACAGAAGAGCGAAGCCCTCAGATCAATTTGGAGCAAATGTCTCGCTGACAGGCACAATATCCACGAGGGCGGAGGGGCGGCCCTACCTGCTTTCAGATTCATCTAACGTGTTATATTTCCACACTGGGAGGGGCCATGTGCGTGGTGGGGCCGGGGCGAAGGGGCAGGGATTTTTCCGGACTCCGCCCCCGGCATCGCTCCCACCCTCTCCCTCCACTTCCTCTCGCAGACTCCTTCTCGGCCCTCCTTCGCATCCCCCCTTTCGCCCTTTTCCTCTTCTTTCCCGTGGCCCTTTACCCGCCACCTCCAGTGGGGCCGCCGACACCGCCGATCTGCTGCCGCCGATCGCCCTCGCCCACGACCGCTGTCTGACAAGATCCTTTGTATTAGACACGCGGTTAACGCCTACTTGAGTCTCCTACAGCCAATAAATAAGCAGGCGACTTCTGGACAAGCATTCTCCTTAAACGAAAGACTATTTTCAATGGTTGCAGAAGTTTCTTGCTTTAATTACAACGAACGTTCTAAAAATACGTGAAAAATATGCCTCACACTCTTGTGAAAATTGATAACACTGTATCAAGATATGGTCTTGAAGAAAAAAACAAATTCAGTTATTATTGTCAAGCTTCGAACTATTTTAAGGTCATCAATCAATACAACTATATAGAACTTACAAGACAATCTNTATCGTGCCAACGTTTCGATCTTTATTGAGATCATCTTCAGGGCTCAAAGTGCCGGCACTCTCAACACGACACGTAAGAATGGCACAATTACACAGAAGCAAACACTTTGAGCCCTGAAGATGATCTCAATAAAGATCAAAACGTTGGCACGATAAAAAAAAATGTTTTTCTGAAACCTACATCACACCAGACCGCATCTCACGATTTCTGAATAATTTCAAGACAATCTTAAATGTATGTAGAAAATATGCCGAGGCGTCTTCGAGATGTAATTCAGGCAAGAGGAGGAAATACCCTATATTGTAATGTCAATTAAAACTCTAAAACAAAATTAAAACAAATTTTATCTGTACGTCCTTTTTTTCAGTTATTACACGTTAAAACACGTGAAATTTTGGTTCATATATGAAAATATATACAAATCAAGTTATATTACAAGTGGGTGGAATTTTTTGCCTGTCAGTGACAACAGGATTGACATATCAAAGTTTTTTATATGCGATCTCAAATTTCCTTGAAGCATTCTCCTGAAACGAAAGACTATTTTCGCAGAAGTTGTTTGCTTTAATTAGAACGAACGTTCTAAAAATACGTGAAAAAGGTGCCATTGCCTCACCCTCTTTTGAAAATTGAGGACCAATCTGTATCAAGATATGGGTCTTGAAGAAAAAAGCAAATTCAGTTTATACTGACATCTTTCGTCTATTTTTAGGTCATCATCTGGGCCTATATTTCTTTCACGTTATGAAAAACATATTTGTAAAAATTGATTTAACAATCAATATAGATACTATATAGAATTTTCAAGACAACCTTATTTTTATGTAAAAAGTATGCTGAGGCGTCTTCGAGATGTAATTCAGCAAGAGGAAAATACCCGATATTGAAATGTTAATTAAAACCCTAAAACAAAATTAAAACAAATTTTATCTGTACGTCAATTTTCAGTTATTACACGTTAAAACACGTGAAATTTTGGTTCATATATGAATATATATACAAATCAAGTTATATTACAAGTGGATGGAATTTTTTGCCTGTCAGTGACTACAGGATTGACATAGCAAAGTTTTTTTACATGAGATCTCAAATTTCCTTGAAAACCGACTCAGCCCCAACATTGCCAAATACTCAATGTTCCAACCTTATCCCAGATTCTCTGTATCAAGATAAGAGTTTTGACGAAAAAAGCAAATTCATTTTATACTGCCAATCTTTCGAACATTTTAAGGTCACCATCAGGGCCTATATTTCTGTCACGTTGTGAAAAACATCCAATCAATATAACTATAAATAATTTACAAGACAATCTTACATATGTCTACAGATTGACACGTTTAAGGTTTTTAGAGGCGATCTCAGCTTTTCCTTGAAGACCGACACAGTCCTAAAATTGCCAAGGACTCAATATTGCAACCGGAGATACTCCTCTCGTTATCAAAAACCTCTCTTTAAAATTAATAAGACCTTAATTGAACTTAAGACCAAGTATCTGTTTGGACGTAACAATTTTTATTTTCCATTCTAGTATGTAGTAGAACCTCTTTTATTCTTCTTCTGAGTAATTAAGACGATTGGTCAATTATTTAAACATTCGAAAAGACAAATCGATGTCTAGTTGACATTGAATGTTTTTATAGTCCGATACCAGTTCTGGATTTATTGCCATAATCAGAAACATGGGGGCGACAAGCATTCTCCTGAAACGAAAGACTATTTTCAATTGTAGCCGAAGATCCTTGCTTTAATTACAACGAACGTTCTAAAAATATGTGAAAAAGGTGCCATTACAACTCTTGTTAAAATTGAAGAACACTGTAACAAGAAAAAAACAAATTCAGTTGTTACTGTTACTGTCAATCTTCGAACTATTTTAAAGTCATCAATCAATATAACTATATAGAACTTACAAGACAATCTCAAGTCTCTTTAGATTGACATATCTACGTCTCAAATTTCCTTGAAGCATTCACCTGAAACGAAAGTCTGTTTTCAATTTAGTCTAATTTTCTTGCTTTAATTACAACGAATGTTCTAAAAATACGTGAAAAACATGCCTCACAATCTTGTGAAAATTGAAGAACTCTCTCTATCAAAATATTGTATTGAAGAAAAAAACAAATTCAAGTGTTACTGCCAAGCTTCGAACTATTTTAAGGTAGTTGTAACTAGTAGTTGTTAAGGTAAGTTGTAGTTCTATACAATATGTAGAAGTTCTTTTATTCTTCTTCTGAGTGATTGAGACTCTTTGCCAATCATTTCAACATTCGAAAAGACAAACTGATGTCTAATTGACATTGAATGTTTCGATAGTCCGGCACCAGTTCTGGATTTATCGCCACAAAGGAAACATGATCATAAATTCTATATTTTATTCACTGTTTTGTTTGGCCAATATATGTGATTGGTCTATAACCTATATACTATAAATTCAACTTTTTTTTCCTTATCCTTGAGTTCAGTACGTAAAGAGCTCATCTTATTCTTGTGTTCGTAACAACAATTCACGTCGGGTATGCATTCCTTTATAAAATATTTTAAATTGGGCGTAATCACTGGGACGTACGTTATTCTCTTGAACGTGAAAGGATTGTTCATATTTCTATGATTTTTTCGCCATTTATTAACTTCCTTCAATTAACGTCTAACAATCTATTAACCAATGTCTTTGGGTTGTTATTTCTTAAATTCTGAAAGCTCGTTCTTTAACTTCACTCCAGAAGCACGTGCAGCTTAGTGACAAAACTCTATGTATCAAATTATTAGCACAATTCGGTTTTTGACCAAAAGAGTCCTATATGTAACATCACATAAACTCAATTTTCTTCCTTTAGTTTAGTATAGAGCTCATTTTACTCTTAACAGGTCTTATATTTGTAATAACAACTGATATTGGGTTTGTATTTCTTTTATAAATATTTTTATAAATATAAAATATTTTAACATGAGAAGAAATCGCTTTCATGTTATACTCTTGAATGTGAAAGGAATTTTGACAAGCGTGCACATTGGAGTTCACGCCAGTGAACTAGCTGAAAGTAAGATATGAGCAAAAATGTACAGTAAAAGTAATAGTAGCATTTATTTGAGTTAGAAATGAAAAAGAATTTGTCAATATTTTTGTTCTATCCTATATTTCTATTAGGTGCATAAGAAAAAGACTAAATTTCTCGATCGATATTTAATTTTTCTTTTTTGGTCAGTAATGACCCTATTTAAGATACTGGATGGTACTATATTCCTTGAACATAGAATTTCACGTCCCGGAGTTTATTTTTACAATTGTTGTTGAAACTGTTATTTCATTGCTTTGTCAAAACGTCATGCAAAGCTGGAGGGAGATTCGGGCGAGTAAGTGCCCACGCCTCCTGCTGTTTCGTCCTGGAGGAAGTAGATTTACTGCACCCGATGGGGAAACATCTGCCGCTGAATTGGTTTAATCTATCACAAATCTTTAAATCGTCTAGAGAAAAATCTGTTGTTTTAACAAAAATCTCAAAAACGGCACGATTTTAAAAAGCGGTACGTCCACGCCTAAAAAACGATGATTAATAACAATTTTTAAAAAAATTTAAGTTGATCTTACGTAAGTATTTGGAATAGGTGTATAATGATATGATAAATGAAACACCACTAAATCTTACAACACTCAGACAATCTTTTTTCTATTGATATTACTGAAATTTTTTTAAATCTAGCTTTGAAAATATACTATAGAAACTATCTTTTAAAAAAATTGATACCCAATTACATATAACTGCGATGTTAAAAAAGTCTGTAAACTTAAGAACTCTGGGTAAAATATGAGGATTTTTTTTAACATGGTACATATTTACTCATTAGCCAAAAATTTATCAAATTGAGGTTTAAATTCGAATTATTTATTGGTGTTATTTTGTACAACTAGCAAACGAAAAAACATTTTTATTGTTGATATAAATTTGTATAGTATAAAAACTTTTTCTTTTTTTTTACCCTTTCCACCACCCCGCTGTACCTGAGGAAGACCCCATACCGGCGGACAAACGCTTTAGCTTAATCGAATTTGTATAACTAAGGGATTTTAAATAAATGGGATAAAATTACCTCCCAACGATCTTTCCTTCAGGCGAGACCGCTGGTCGGTTTTCCAAGGGACAATATTTTCATTTTAAAACCTGAAACAAAAGGACTTCTCTTGCTGGTTTCCCCTTGCACATTTACTTTTTCTTGATTTTATTTTCTATATATTTATATTATCTAAAATTTTCTTACTAAGAAGAGGAAAACAGCCCGGAACCCTAAACCTAAACCTATGTTTAATATTTTACAATTAATTAAGGTTTTTAGTTGAGATGAAAAAAAGTTAATGGCACGAGAGGGATTCGAACCCACGACCTTCGGCTAGATACGCCGCTGCTCTACCACTTGAGCTA